CGATTTGTTCTTCTCTGATTCTTCTTGTCTCTGCTTTAGCTAACTCTGAGAACAGGTGACTTGGAGGTTTATTTTCAAAGTTTGGGACTTACAGTGCAGTGTGACTTCTTGGAGTTATATTCTTTATTTTCACATTCATGAGATTTTAAATGCAGATTTTCTGATGTGAGAAGGAAAACAAACAATGTGTGCTTGTTCTTCCCAAAATAGTTAATGCTTCATCTTTATTGAAAGGATGTCTTGACTGCTCTGTGTTCTGATAAAATTACTACAAAACTTAGTGGATTTACAGGCTTGTTTTGTTTTGTTAATCTCTTTTGAAATTGAAATCTATCATTTCTTTTACCTCTTGATAGGTGCTGGATAGTTTGTTAGCTCAGTATGGAACAGTGGAGAACTGTGAGCAAGGTATGGCTCTACTATCAGATTGTTTTGAATTTGTAGTGGGAAGTGAGTGCACGCTGAGCTTAACCTCTTTCCATTGCGTTTTCCTTTCTAGTGAACACTGACACGGAAACTGCAGTCGTAAATGTAACATACGGCAATAAGGACCAGGCTAGACAGTAAGTATCTTATTTACTTGTCACTGTCTTCTAACTTGTATTTTGGAATTCATGTTGTTGCGATTATAATATGCAACTTCGCTTCCGAATTAATTTATTGATAAAATGATCACATAAGCATTAACTTTTAAGGAAGTCTCTCAGTCTTCCCCTCACCAAGTCTTGTGTACTTTACGTTAATTTGCCTTTTTTTTTTCATAAACTTTTCCAGCACTTTGATTAAAAATAAATTAGTGATTTGGAAATTGAAAATCTGGGTAAAATTATCTGACTGGGGAGGGCAGAAAGTTAAGTGATTTGCCAATGACAGGATGATTTTTAGCCATGCTTTAAAAAAAAGCTTTGTGATGCCATTTGACAGAGTTGGTTTTTCTGTATCTTCTTTCTAGTTAGCAGCTGCATTCTTCTTCTATTTGTTTCTGTTATTTTGCTACAATTTTCCCTTAAATTATTTTTTTAACTATAAAATTTAGTGCTCCTTCCAAACAAACTACAGGTCGTAATCTGATGGATACATAAAATAATTTATTTTGGCTTTTTGAGCTTTAGGCCATGTATTTTATGCTTGCTAATATCTTCAGTAATTGATAACTTTTCATCTAGATATTAAAATTTAAAAGCATAATGCTATGCTTTATGTAATCAATGCTTGTATGTCCTTTTCTTTTAAATAGCCACATTATATATTATGCTATAGGTTTAATTGTGCTTTTCCACCACAGGCAGAAAAAGGACTTATGTGTTCCTTAATTTTTAATCTGGTGACATAAACGTATTTTTTTCCCCCTCTTTCTAGCTGTAGCAGGTTAAACAAAACCAAACTCATGCAATAGCCTACAATGGTCTTTTTATTTTTACTTTGAAATTTCTGCCACCTTGTGGCTAACTAAAATCAGCAGTTAAGATGCAGAGTCTGCTTATGGTATGCATTAATTCAAAATTACAAATGAAATAATATTTGTACATATAATTAAGTAATTATGACTTCTGTGTAACTTGAATGCAACACATGTATTTAATCTTTCAAAGTGTTAGGTTACTTGTTAGTGTATTCTAAACAAATGTGATGGGAAACTTGTGTCGTGGTGTCTCCTGTCTACACTGGAGCTGGAGGAAACAGTGTTTTTCTTGAATTGGCTATTTAACTTTTCTCGAAACCTGAACTGTTCAACAAGCTGTTCTTGAGGTTTTTCTGTTGTTTTTCATTCTCTTGTACAGTACTTATGAAAAATGTTGAATTTCTAGTTCTGAATATACCTGTGGTGCAATGTTAAAAATTAATGTTACATGTGCCAGTTCCTCCTTTGAAAATGTAAGAAGGAAGTACCTAAAATACCATGGAAAGAAGCATGATGCATACTTTTGAGCTGTCTGTCATCTGTGATGTGGGTTCCTGGACTTGTGCACTCCCTTCTGAAATGGAAAACAACATTCAGTTTCTCCCCCCTCAAACTTGTTAAATTTTAAGGTCAATCCTGAGGAAACGCTGAGATAAGCCAAGACTGTGAAGAATTGTCTGAGATGAAAAAATTTTGTTTTGCATGAGAAATCACATGACAATAACGGAAAACATCTTGAGTCTGAGGCAGGGGAATTAGTGCCCAACAGGGATGTTGGAGGAGGAACTCAAATGATACAGGTTGAATGATGACATAGGGTTTGATTTGCCTTGAACAGGTAGGGCAAGTGGAGGAGCTTTGATTTTCTTTTGATACAGATGCGATGTTTTCTAAGGGGACGAGTCTAGTTTCTGTACAGAAAACATTAGCTCAGATTGTCTGGGTTCAGGATGCAACCTTGCAACCATTTAGAGATCCCTAAGAGAAAAAGTGGCCGGATAGAGGTTTTTCTAGCAAAAAAACTCGTGAGGAATTGCAATGAAGAATCACTACAGGACCTGTGTGTGTGGCTTTTCTGTAGTGGCTGTGGTGGTGTTTCAGTTGAATGGTTTTCCCAGCCATGACCTAGCTTTGCTTCTTGGAACTGGCTGCAGTGGACAGCAGTGGCTGTGGTTGGGGAGTGGTATACGAGTGCTGATAGCTGATAAAAGTCACTGTTGGTCAGCCTGTGTGGTACAAGGAGCAACAAGAAATAACTTTATCAAAAGCTGTTTAGAGTCGTTAAGACTCAGCAGCTGATAACAAGCTTTGTATTTTGAAATTTAGCTGTTTAGGGTAAATGATGGTCTTAGCCATGACTTTTGGAGCAAATGATGTGACATGAAGTTTTCTGTGTCACCGCATACAGTGGGTCCTCAGTTCTAACTGCATCTCTTCCACGCTTTTTGCAACACACGTACTAACCTCGCAGCTGGTAGTGCTGACTGACAAAACATGCGAAGTTGGCTGCTTCCCGGCTGGATACACTGTATGGCAGTGCTGTGCCTGTTGGAGTGTACACCGGCACTGCTGTGCAGTGAAGGTGCTGTAAGACAACCTGGAGATGTTTTTGATAAGCAATTCTAAACAAGTGTGGTATGCATTGCTTGGAGGATGTTACTTTTCAAAAAAACTTCTGGTTCCACCCAGCTAAGAAACTGAGTTGCCTTCTATCTTGCAAGTCTAACTCTTGTGGCAGAGGTGGGTTTTTTTTTCTCTAGGCAGTTGCAGCATATTCAATACGGGGCTGCATTCAAAATTAACTTGGAAACTGAAATCGGTGAAGAATGTTGCAGTCCTAAGAAACAGGTCTTGGACAGAGCACACAGCACCCAAAATCTGAGACGTGCACCGTTAGTGAGGTCTAGGTGGAGTGGAGGTCTTTGGCTTTCACCTGTTGTAGTGATGCCTCTCTTTCCTAGCTGGACAGGCATGAGGCTGTCTTGGCAGAAAACCCAGGATGCTGCTCCTCACCTTTACGGCCGGAGCAGGGGAGCCAGTGTGGCAAATCAGGTACTTGTGGGAAGCCTGGTAGGTTTGTGGAGAGGTGTACATGTACCGACCTGAGAAAACCACCCTTTCTTCTCTGGGGCTGTAGGTAGTGAGGAGAAGGCTAGGCCTGCCAGGGCATCTCTGTGACCCCGTCCCTCCCCTCCTCTCCTGCAAGCGTTTGGGAGGAGGAGTTGTTCCGACTCAAACTGCCCCTGCTGCCATCCTTCCCAGAAACTGGAGAGGGCCTTACAAAGCACGTGCACGCTGCTGCGGCACACGCGATTACTGAACGTTGCGATGGGTTGTGGAAGATTTGGAGGAGAGGAGTTCAGAGGGCAAGCGGCAGAGCCTGGAGCCCATGGTTCAGTTTGAACAACCCAACCAGCTGCACGTAGGTACTGAGGCAGCTTGGGACCTGCTTGCCAGGGGCACCCCCTCTTCTCCCTGCATCAATCCCTAACTGCAACCAGCAGGACATGCTGACCATCTCCTTGTGACATGCTGCTACCTAAACTGTGGCTGTCGTCTTCAAAAGTTACACCACCTTTGATTTCCCTCCTCAAAATACTTCAGTGTGCAGGCACCTACTGCCTGCTACGGGATTTACCCAGGATTTTGGAAGGGAAGATTTTTGTGCAAAGTTGGTCTCATGTATACAGAGCAAGTGTATGTTGTTTTACTGTGGGGCTAGGTGTTTGGGTTTTGTCTTACTTTTTAGCTCAGGAATGAGATGTGTGTCGTTGGGTCTCGTAACTGATGGTGTATTTTAAATGCGGGCTGTGATGTGAGGAGCTCAGGATCTGCGTCTTTGCAGATGTAAGCAGGTATATTACTTTGAGTGTTGATACCAACAGTCACCTTTTCATTATAACAATTACATAAAGAAACAATTTTTTTTTACCCTTTCAATGAAGTACAAAGCTGTGTGTGTGCACACAGCATGTATCCTTGATGAATGAATAAGAGTTCACATAACTAATACTTTTACATGCCATCACGGGTCAGGGCTAATGTTGCCATAGGAACGATAATATTGAAAATTCAGTGGTGTATGATTATAAGCTTAGATTTAGATTTTTGCTTTGTTTTTATTTTCAGAAATACTGATGAAAACTCTATTTTTATTTAATGCAAAAACATTGTTATGCCAAAGAAAAACTACCATGTATATCTGTCTTCTCGGTATGCAAATGTATCTCTTCAGGGAGGAAAAAAGAAAGGTGGTGTACGTACAAGCTGCACGTGGGAGTGAAATATGTTCTCCATCTAGTGCTTAGTGTCATTGCACTATCAATGGATGAATGATTTCCAGCACAAGACTCGGTGCTTTTACTGTATTCATTTATCTAGGATCCTTAACCTCCGCTAGCATCAGAAGGGAGAAGGCTGGGCAAACATCCTCTCGTAGGGAGCTCATGAGGACAGCACTGAGATGTCATTTTGATGGGAAAAACTCAGGAGACTAATTTACAAAATATTTGTTTAAAGGTATCATTTTTATGTAGGGATCCTCTTACTTCTGAGCTGGTGACACGTGAACGTAAGCCAGGCTTCTATACACGTTACCAGAGCATAGGCAGTAGTCGCTGCAGTCTCTTAATGAATTTGTTTTATAAAAACATTCCAAACTACACTGAGATTCCTGTGTACCAGCTCTTGCTGGTACATAAAACAGAAACATTTCCACTCGATATTAATTTTTAAAGAATATTTGGGGCAGGAGGGCACCTCATTAATGAGGAAGCTTACTGAATTTTTCTCCATCTTTGTCCTCATTAAGTGACTCTAAGGCTTTTAGCCCTTGCATAGAAGATGGTTTGTGGGTTGTTTCAGTAGGTACCAGCAGTGGCCTCTGGCAGAGGTAACCTGTACGGCCCTTACTAAATTGTGGCCGTGGAAGGAGAGCGCCAGCCCTGTTTGGGGCTTTGCAGAGGTCTTTGCGGAAAGGCAGAGGTGGTGTGGCTGTGGTTTGGACTTGAGTTTGAGTCAATGCAAGTACGTGCTTTACAAAAGGAGCTGTATTTAATGGGTGTTTGGGCTGCAACAACAATGACAGCCTTGGCTCAAACAGGTGCCACTAGTGCTGTGAAGAACCAGTTACTTGCTTTTGTCTGAGGCTCAGGCTTTCCCAGTGGTGATGGCTCTCCTGATAGCAAGTGCTGTCTTAGATGCTGTTTTACACAAATTTTGCATACATTTTTCTCCTCGTCCCTGCTTCTGAAGCAGTGCCTAGATGTCTCTCAAATGTTGGGCTTATGGTGCTGAAGGACTGTTGAACCATCACCATGCCTGATTCCAGCCCCATGTTTTGTACCACAAAATTTATAGAAATTAGTTTGGAAGAGTTTAATAAAGGTTATGACAATACGTTAAAAACCTAGTGAAAACTGTCAAATGTTGGAATGTGAAGGCCAGGCTCAACAGCCAAAGTGACCTTCCAAAAGGTGTGGGCTTGTGTCTTCTGTGAGAAATACCCCAGAACTGTGTATTTGCTGCATTCACTGAAAACTAGTTTTCTTGGCATTCCCTTGTGTGTGCCCAAATCGGTGCAGAATGTGGGACCGCCTAACCAGGGAACGTCAATCCCTCAAAAGGTTTGGGAGAGCAGCGTTTAATTGTTGACTTTCCTTCTGACTTACCATTTGAACAAGTCAAATTGTAAGACAATTCAGACTATAAGATATGGAGAACTCTCTGACTCGGAGAGTGAATTAGTTATTTTAAAGTTTTCTCTATAACTATCTAGACTACTTTAAACAAGTGATACTACCGTAGTATCTCTAGTGTACTAGAGAATCTAGTACACAGTACTACAGATACTGTAGTATCTAACTAGAGAAGTGAACTTTAAAGTAGGTTTGCCTTCAAATACTTGCTCAGAACCAACCCATCCAATATTTAGTGTGTTATTTTTCCATGTCATCATATGGCTTTGGTGGCCAGGGATTGTTCAGTGTCGACATAAACGATTTTACCACAATGGCAAATGAACATTTCTCAGTTTGCTTTGAGTTTAAGGTGCTTATAGTCATATAGAACCATTTAGCAGTTTATAAACCTTTTTTAAGCTGAAAAATTCCAGCCTTCTTTCCAGGAAAAGTATGGCATATATGTAGGCCAGTTGTTGCTGCATAATGTTTGTTGTGAAAACAGGAGAGGTAGCTTTGTTGCAAACAAAAAGCCTAGTCTTTTCCTCCCCTAAAACTTCTAAGGAAGAGTGAGAAGTTTCGTGCACCGATCTTAATATGAGGTTTATTAGGGCTGGGATTCTGGTCTAAGGTGTTTTAAAGCCAGAGGAGATTGAAACATTTTGGGAAAGAAGCGATGTCTGAACTTGTCAAATGAATGCATGGAAGGGAATGAGTCGGGCCTGATGTCAATTCGGAGCCTACCAGCACGCTCGTGAAATTGTTGGTGCTCTTCTCTCCAACATGTTGAGGTTTGATTCCAAAGGAAACAGGGCTTGTGCAACTGCACTGTCTGGTGCAATTCAGCTTTTTGGCTGATTTTGGTTAAATTCAACCCAGAAATAGAGATCTTAGATGTTTGCAACCAACAAGAACTTAGTATGTTTAGGTTGCACAAAAAGGAAAGTCTCCAGACCCCTCTCCCAGATAGGATCTCCACAGAGAGAGACTTCAGTGAAATGCCTTTCAGGCATTGGAAATCTACGCAGAAACTAAAACTTGAGGCAAATCCATAGGAACTCAAGTTTCACTAGTCTGGCTGCTTACTGACCTTACTGTTTTGCAAACACGGCTTTTTGTGTAATAAAGCACTCTTCAAAGTCCATAGAGTAAAAGTTAAACGTCAGCTTTGAAATAGCCTCAGCAAATTTTAATCCAGCTCTCTTTTGCCATATGCTGTAAGAGATTCTTCTGTTATGGGAGCAATTACGCTCCTGCCCTGTTCCCCAAGGACCTGTCTCATTTGGTGAACAGAAGTATTTAATGAGCAGTGATCAGTTATTCAATATTTTGCTTTCCTTGTTGTTCACTGGCATTGCCTTGGGTCTTATTTATTACCAGCTCTTATTAAACAGTGCTCCAAAGACACAAATTACTTGTTTTCTCCTAAGCTCTTTACTGTCTGACTGGAGTATTTCAAGGACACTGGTTCAGCCCCTGGGAGATGAGGGGCATGTTATCCTCAGTACCCATGTACCACTTCTTACCTGCAAAGCTGCTGCTTGGCTTTAACACCTGCTTGAGACCCAGACTATCCAACGATACATATGGGAGAAGAATAGTAATTTTCACTGGCTACCCTCAAAAATTTAGGCGATTGGCTAGCATCAACCTTTATCTCTGCCACAGAGGCAGGATTAAAAGTGTTACTGAGGGTAGTGTTCGGTAAACTGGCAGTAACCACCTGCAAACGTGTGTGAATGGAGGGACTGGGTTAAGTTTCTGAATTTCAGAGGCCTTACTCCAGAGCATATGAGTATTGGAGTTTTTTAATGAAATTGTTGGTGGATTCTTTCATAGAAGATGGAAAACTCCCCTTCCCACTACTACAAAATCTATCTGTAATCTTTGGTCCAAGATCAAGTCTGGCATTTATAAACTACTCCAAATTAATGCATGTTTCAGTGACACCAGTATATAGGTGATAATCTAAATAATATGCCTTCTGTAGCAAAACTGGAAATGTCTTTCTGGGGCGGATGTGTTAATTTTATACCACCTGCTTCTTACCAGGGTGTTGCATGTAGCTTGGTTATTCCTACTGTTTTCTGGATATCTAATTGTATTGACTCTACTATGTTTGTGAGCGGAAGATCTTCTGCCCTCCAGAAGTCTGTCGTTTTTCAGTTCAGAGTTGTGTTCCCTCTGTGAAGAGGAGGAAACCAGCAGGTCAGGTTGACTTGCAAACTTGGCCCCGCCTTGACTAGAAAGAGGGGCTGGGCAGAGGGAGAGCTGAGGGACAGGGGGTCCTTCAGTGCGATGGACCACGGTGTGAGTATGTTGTGTGCATTTGGGCAATATCCCTCTGTGATATTTAACAGAGGGCTCTGCTTTGCCTAAAAGCACCAGAGAACTTGAAACATGGTTTAAATGCCTTCTAACACCTTTGCATCTATGGAGAGTTTAACAGATGCATCGGCTTTAATTTCCTGGTTAACTTTTAAACCTGCTTACTTCATGACTTGTTGGTAAGCTGCAAGGTGCTGTCGTGGTCTGCTAAGTGGTGTTTCAA